ATAATAATTATATAGAAATAACAAATCACGGATTTTAATCAAACGCTTTTCTTTTAGAACTCTTGATAATTTTAAATTTATCTCTGGTTCCTTGAGTTTCAAATTATCGAGAGTCGATTGTATTTTGAAGGTGATAAGATTGATGTATCCTAAATTGTGTTTAGTAAAGTTTTTATGAGCTCAATTGGTGTATTTATTGGACAGAACGTAAAATATTCGCATGTTTACTACAGTTACCTATTTACCAGTACGTCACCGTACTAGAACATCATCAGGATTTAAAAAAGAATTTCGTTGCCGAAATATATATAAAGATGCCTTAATTTTTCTTACAGTAATAAATAATTACTGATTTCGCACAAATTTACATATCGATACTTTTTCACTTATGAAATGTATAGGTAGGTACAATTATATAATTAAAACATCCAACCTACAAATCACTTTGGATGGTTCTAGTAATGTCTACTTGAAAGTACATATATTCTAAAATATTTTACTTGTTTTTGTTTTTTTTTTACAGTGCCTATTCAATCTGAAAGAAAACATCATAGGGTTAAAAATGTGTTAACAAAAATGGAATCCACCAGGGGCCCCTTAAGTGTGTTACGCAAATGTATCGAGGATAAAATTAAAGTGAAGGTAACGAAAACATACCTGTTTCAATTTAAATTATCGTATAAAATTAGCTGCGAGCTTAATACCTCTTAAACATAGTCGAAGCTATGAAACTGTAGGTGCTACAGGAAGAACGATTTGCAGGTGGCTATTATTTTTAGTAGATTCCTTTATACACTTTCATTATGTGCATGCTGATTTTGTCGATAAAATGAACAATGACATCATCGAGTGTCCTTAACTTTAACTAACTGTATACCCATGCAGTTTATGATGATAGAGGAAGATATAAATATGTATAACGTACTTGTTAGTATATTATTATGCACATTTAGAAAGTAACGACCATTTAAATTGCATAATTACTTACATTGCTTTTTAAAAACTTGAATTTATGGAAGATAGGTATAATACATCAGTTTCCTGTACAATTTAGTGTTAATGTTGTTGGAGTTTAGTGGTCCATTAGCAAGCGCCCTGGGTGGCGGTTATTTGGTTAAAAACCTCCCTTCGAAATTAAAAGAATATCCTCAGTAAGAAGTGATAACACTATAATAAAAATAAGTGGTAGCGATAACGGTCAGTGAAGGATCTATTTAAAGATAAGAAAATTACTATCAACATCATCATCATCATCAAAAGGTCGTCAGTCCTAAGACTGATTGGACACGCATTTCTACTCTTTCCTATCCTGAGCTAATCTTCGCATTTCCCCAAAACTAGAACAACTCACATACCTAATTAAATTAAAAGTTAGCCCACCCCCCCGAACGAAAATCATGCGTACGCCTCGGCCCGTTAGACATTACGGAAAATTTTGAGAGAATCCTAAACTGAAAATTTAACCATGGTACGTTCTAATCGATTTTAAAACAAAAACGTATTTGAATTATTGGGAACTGACCTATAGACGTGACCTAAAGAAACATGTCGGAAAATAGCTTACAGTTTTAGAAACGTTTCTGAAATATTCTTTTGAGTTGGTAATAACCTACATTAAAACGATATAAGTACAGGATGTAGAACGATTTTTTTCTATCGGCCATTTAATCAAATATGGTATAAATGGTGAAGAAGAGTACCATGTTACTTCGTTTTGTGTGCAAACCTGTCATACGAAAGAAAAACTTTATGAGGTACATGCAGTAATATCTAACAGTGATACCTTTTTAGAAGAATTTTTGTAGGGCTTCCAATACATTAAAGTGAATTAATTTTTTTACTATTATAGATAACCTCAAATTTATTATTTAATAAAAAAAATTAATTCACTTTAATGAGTAGAAACTACCCTTTAACTTCTTAAGTCTGAGAAGGTGTCCTACCAGCTTATCTCATCTACTTTCAGGCGCCCTCTGTTTTTCTGCTCTTTCTAATTCCTCCTCATTTCTAACCTTCTTTATCCATGGTATCCTCATCATTTGTCAGTAAAACCAAATTTCGAACGCTGCTAACCTCTTCTTTTCCGCCGCGCCCATCGTCCACGTTTCGCATCCGTACAGAACCGTGCTTCAAAAATGTCTTTAAAAATTTCTAAATCAAAGATACTTCTTTTTGTTGAAGGCGTCTCGACCGTGCGCTATCCTTTGTTTTATATTTCCACTGCTTCTTCCATCCTGAATTATCTAACATCCTAGATACTGATAATCAGCGATTTCTAATTTTTCATCTTCTATTTTTATATTCACACTTTCTGTATTTTTTCTGCTGTTGCATACCACTATTTTTGTTTTACTTGGTAGTGGTATAAAATTATTTTACAGCATTTGATTTCTATTAACGATTTATAAAAATAAATTTAATTTCAAATGCCGTGATTTTAAACTTTTCATTTATTGAAGATAATAATTATTCGGCCATGAGACGTATTGTATCATTTAATGGTGATGTCTACTGTTCCGAACAAACGCTTTAAACTAGCGCTTCATCTCAAAACGGTATAATCGCCACTTTGCTTTCAGTTAATCCAAGGTAATGTTCCAAGGGTACAAATAATCGTAACGGAGAAAATAAATTAGAAGGATTATTAATAAACCTTTTAGCTGCTGCACAATACATATATCGCTGTATCCAGTGGCGTACAAGGTGTATACACACTTCGATCTTTAATTCATTGAGCAAAACAAAAGCAAAAGTTAAAATTTAAAAAAGAACAATTGAAAATATTCAAAGACTTATTTACTCAAAAGGATGAGGAAGATTTCTAAAATTTTATTCTTATGAATTTAAGTTAGTGTTAATGAACCTTAAACAAGTGAATCTATGAAAAAAAAAGATGAGATCAAATTAAGTACCTGCTTTCATTAATAATATTTCACAAAAAAAGTGGGAATTGTTTGTTTTCTTTGTATCAGTTATTCGCGTCAAGTAATTAATTTGAAAAAGTGATAACCCTGCATAGACTTACTAGAAGCTTATTTATATTGTTTGTCCTCATTAGTTAGTAATTTCAATTACTACATAATTGCTAATATTATTCCATACATTCTTAATGATTCAGTATCAGGCATATGAAGAAATTTTACGGTAGAGGTAGTTTAAAATCTCGTGGGTCGTGATCATCGGTTGCGCAGCGACAAAATTTCGGTTACTCAGTGATTTCTACTTCTCATTAAAAACATTGACCGTTTGGTCGTCGTCGTATACAATTAAAAGTCGAGTCAGTGTTTATAATAGTCTATAATAGGGGGGGGGGTTACGTTTCTAAGAAGACGGATAGTCAGCTAGAAACAATGGGTATATACAGAGGGTGAGAAAGTGCCCTATTTTCTTAATTACGTCATCGAGTTGGTGCTCAAAATTTTAATGAAACGAAGACATTGGTATGATATTTAATCAAATTTCCTAAGAGCGGACGTGTAAGTTGGAGCAAAACAGGTGACAATGTTGCAAAATATTACTAATTATTGTAAAAAATGTCATTCGGAACATGGAAAATTAAGAACAAATCAGCTTTAAGTGTATTTCCGATTATCATATTTCCTGATCTCTTCATTATTCAGGTGAAAAATATGTATTTATATTAAAAAATTGATGTCGAAAGTTACAGTCAAGGTCGCCAACTGACTCCTCCTTAGAAAACCTACAACATTTATCTAAAACTTTTGTGAAATAATGTGAATCGATCAAGGTATTTCATGTTTTCTTTTTGCAATAATTTTTGTCTATTTCAATCTTATTCGCCACATAGAATGACAACCTACCCCCCTTTTTATGGGAACATGTTACTGTACAATTTGTCAGTTAGAATATCGTGCTTCTATAGTAACACAAACCCTAAACGTTTTGGGTGTTTCATTTTCACCCGCTGCTAGTGCTGATGGGCGATCAGTCTCCTTAGATTACGCTGGAGAGCAGAGGAGCAGGCTCCCTTCCGATTCCTTTAAGGACGCGTGGGAATGGATGGGTGGTGGTTGAAATGAGAAAGATAAGACGAACGAAAAGAAGATAGAGGTGAGTGAAAGATTATGTGGAATGTTACTGCCCCTTAAGTTACCCAAGGAAACTACAAAAAAATTGGTTCAAGGTTGACGGATCCGGAATCGAACCAGTGTCCTCCCGAATGCTATGCAATGGTCTTAATCTAAACCTCTACGCCGTGCCGCTCGGTGAGCAGTACCATTTTCTTTTTTAGTTTGTACTCTATTAGATCAAAGCTTCATACATGCTGTAAAAATTACTACCATTCCTTAGCTAATAATAATCAACATTTCAAACTTAGGAGAACAGGCGATATGTAAGCACCTAGTTGGACCCGCTTCTAGTTAAAAACTCTAGCCTTATTTACACGTTTAGACATAAGAAATACCTTTATATCCTTTTCCAATTACTTTCAACAATATTAATAATAATAATCGGTTAGTAGTATATCAATGTACTTGAAGATCCCTCGATGGTGTGTGATGATACGATACTAGTTGGTTGGATTATGAAAATCTAAAAACCATTTTTTTAAGTTAGTAATTCTAAACACTATCGTTAATGCTAAAATGTTTCCAACCATTTATCCGTAATGTTAGCAAAAAAGAAAGAAAAAGACTGCACCTTTTTCTTTTAAAGGCGCTACGAAATACTTATGTATGTCATTCTGATGGTACGGTTATTTCATAACGTATCTTGAATAGAACTATTTTCTGTAAAAAGTGTTCGTATAGCTGGAAAAGCGACACTAGATGTGTGGTAGCTATGTGTATAGACCAATGGCGCTCAATGGCAACAAGTGTCTTTAAAATTCATAGATAGAAACGAATGAATGTTATAAATACACAAACACACATAGATACGTACACATGTCCTGCAATGGAAACCACGAACACCGCGGTTGCTCAACAAGGAAATCGAGGCAGAAGGTTAGTAGTCGCTCGGCGCGATCGACCAGCTACGTTGTCGGCCACGGCGACCGTCGACGTGGAGCTGCAGGTGTGCTTGGTCCGCCGCACACCATGGTCAACGCCATGGCCGAATTCGAATACCCGTAGAAAACAACGGCTCCGGTTGCTAGCAATGGCTCAATGTTACTTTTGCACAATTATTTACTATAACGGCTAGGCTATAACCAACGGCGCAAATTCATATAACACGAAGCCAACATCAAACGAGAAGGTTGATCGCTATTGCTCTGATGGCGGATGGACCTTGGGAAAGTTTCCTTGAAGATCCCTCGATGGTTTGCATTAAGTACGATTGTTTACTTTTATAGACCGTAGCATATTCGGTAACTGTTATTTATCTTACTATTAGGCAACGCAGTAATATAACCTAGCCCAACCAAATCTGTATTAGAAGGACTCATTAAATAGTGTTTTCGTAGTTATTTGGTATATTTTAAACAGTAATCTAATACCGGCAGATAATGTTCTTCACGTTCAATCTTTACTATGGGTAATAAAAAACTTATTTTAGAAATTAGTGCTGTACTAGTTCATTAGTGTATTCCTTAACTCTCAAAGGGGGTGTTGCAGATTCGGATTTAGTAAAACTTAAGAAGTGCTTGTCATTTCATAATTACCCATATTTAATGCCAC